TGGACATGTCGGTAGCGGATAAGGAAACGGAAACTGTCTTAAATCTCTCCCCCTGAGGGCTGTCCCGGGTCATTATGCCTGAATATCCTCCACTGACGGGAGCTCCGGGACGGATGAGCGCCCCCCTGCCATCGCTGTCGGCCCAGGACGCCCTATAAGGCCCCATGGTTGTAGCTGCCGTTAAGGGGGACTGGTCCCCAAAGCGGTTATCCCTTCTGTCCAAAGTCTTTGCAGAGTGATACAAGGTTGTTGTGTTGGTCTCTCTGAACTCCCTCCATGCAGAGTTGCCTCCTGCGTGGGATCTCATCAAGACTTCAGGCCGTGGGCTGACCTGTGATGGGACAGAAAAGGGGAGGCTGCAACGTGAACGACCGCTCAAGTCCGCTCCATTTTCACCCTTTAAGAAGAGCAAGGGGGGCTCCCGGTAGAGCTCAGTCTTAGGGCGCAAGGCATCTGAGCGAGGTCCCTCTCTGCGCGCAGTTCCCTCTGTGGTAGTTCCTCCATATACTTTAACCATTTGCTTGACAGGTGGGTGTTCAAAAGAAGCGTCTTTGCTCTTACCAACCGATACAGTGTCTTTTTGGTGTCCATCCCTCCTCTCAGGCTTCCCTCTGTTCTCACTAGGGCTGCCATACTTGACCCGCACCTGTTCCACTTCCTCTTTTACTTCTGTGTTTTCTTTTTCTGCCACTTCCAAACACACAGGTTCTTCCTCCCTGTCAGGAGTAATGTTCAGATCCTCCTTCTCCTCCTCTTCCTCCTTCTTAGGGCTCCCTTCCCCCTCTGGAAGAGCCTCCGTCTGGCTTCCTGCTACATCCTCTGGCAAAGCCTCAACCTTCACCAGAGTGAGGGATATGAGGTAGGTGGTGCGTCTCTGTGGGTTGGCTGCTTTGCTCATTGGGACAGCACACCTCAGTGCAGTGACACCTGCTCTCTGACCTCAAAAGACCTGCACACCTCGGTCATGGCAACCAGGATGAGACTGAAGACCAGAAGAAAAAAAAAAAATCAAATACAGATCTGATCAAATGATGTGTGGCAGATTTTGGCTGATGTCGGGCTAATGTACTTGACAGTAGTCCAAGTTTGCTCTTAAAACCTTAACAAAAACAGGAAGTCAGTAATAAAAAATAGAGGAACACTTGAATTGCAAATTTATGGAATATATTCGGAAGGCTGACCCACTGGTGAAACAAGTCTAGACTGTTTTTTTAAAAAAAAAAAAAAGCCTCCATTAATCCTCTTCAATGCACACCACTACTACTGGTCTCTACCACTGATTCATTCATAATCCTTCTCCCTCTCTGCCTTGCTTTCCTTCTTAAATTCATTTATTTAGAGCAAATCTGACACAGAGACACATGGATGGATCTAAATAAGGTATATCTTTCCACGGAGTAGGTGTCCCTGCCTCAGATTTTAGCCTGGAATTATGCAACAGTCTATACATTCATGACTGATCCATTTCTTGAATAGGGCTAATATTAATACTAGCTGTATAATGCCACCCTACTACAATATTTGTCTCGGCTTTTGCTCATATCATACCTTCTTTTTTTTCTCTCCCCACTGAAGAGTATCCATTCACGGCTCCGTGCACATTTGATCTGATGAAGAAATCCTCCTGCCGCCGGATTACCATTCATATCAAATGGCACATCAAACAAGGCTGACAGAAAAGAGCTCCAACTGAAGATGAAAACAGGTGAAAGGGGAACAACAAAATGGAAATCATTCACTTGTCACGAAGCGTCTGGCAGCTGGAGCCTCCAATCGACAATGTCATGCATAAAATTATGTATGCACAGTGTGAGGGTCACTGAGAGATGCTGAAAAAACATCTGTTGTTATGTCTCGAGAAAAGCTAAAAAAAAAAAAAAAAAAAAAAAAGAAAAAAGGAAGAGGGATAAAGTAGCCCGATTTCCACAACCCAAGCAATGCTTTCTTCTGCATGTATGCCTCCTCTGGAGAGCAGCTCCTCTCGGTCACTGCATCCTCTCCTCCGAGTGCCTCATCCAATTAGCAAGTCAATAAAATGTGTCTGTGAGGCAGAGGAAGCCCACCAGCTCACCACAGCCCCTCCTCCTTTTTTTCCTCCTTCTTTCCTCCTCTTCTCACTGCCACAGAGCCATGGAGCCCCCCTGCTTACGCGCCGTTAGCCTGCCGCACAACCACATCCACGCTGGATACGGCTCGGGCAATCAGGCTGGGGAATGAGCAGCTTGCTGTGAGGCGGTGGTGGTCCTTGCCCACCTTCATCACATTTTCTTTTTATCTGTGCCGACACACACACACACACACAAAAAGAGAGACAGGAAGGAGGAAAAAAAAGCCTCAGCTCTACTCCTGCCAATGCATCTGCTCTGTCTCTAGCTCTTTCTCTCCGCTCTCCTTGTGAGCAGCTCCTGCTTTCTCTCTCTGCCTCACTGCATGTCCTCTTTGAGTGAGAAAGTAAGGATGTACAGGATGGATGGTTTCTAAAGGGGGAAAAAAAAATAGAAAGATATAGAAAATGTTAAACAGAAGATAGATTTTCGAGGGAGGGAAGCTATCTACAGTAACAGCAGGAGAAATGGAGGGAAAACTGCAGATATTGATGATAAGTTAGGTGGAAGACATCAGAGAAGATACAAGATGCGGAAGGACAAAAACATACTTTAGAAGTAACGCAATACACAACCTTCAGGTAGAAGGTATTTTGTCTTGTCTCTTAATCATGAACCTGTCAGCATCAACAACACGACTCAGGGATCAAGCAAACGGCATTCTTCTCACTCTTACATTTAAACCTCAGAGTCACAGTTGTTGTTGTCTCGATTAAAAACAGAAGATCGAGCCGTAAAACCTATGGGCATCCGTATGTTATGTTAAAGCTTTTGTGGTTTTAAGATGTTTACTAAACATATTGTGATTTATTAAGGCTGCTGAAATTCTAATAGTAGCATCATAATCAGTTAAGAATGAAAAGTAGAGTTTCTTTCAGCAGCAGTACAATCACACACATTGAAGCTAACTCTGGGACTAATAAAGGCTCTCATCTCATCTCATCTCATCCTATCTTATCGACTTAAATCTTCACTGGCATTTTTGTTGCTCATTTTTTGATATGTACTTTATAATTTACTTGTTAACCGTCCACTTTGCTTTGTGCACATATCTGGAATGAGATCTATTCATTTCCATACTTAACTAATACGTAAAAGTCAAAAATGGCTGTTACTCATATACAGTATGTGTCAGATATTTCAGTTGTGCTAATAATGGCGCTATTTTCAAATGCCTGTTTAATTTTCAGGCTTTTTGAATGTTTTCTTTGTAGCCACAGGTGGTTGCCATTTAGGTGGAAATCATGGAAAGTTAAAACCCATGTTTAAAAAGCAGAACAGTGTTTAATATGTGGTTTTGTGCTTACCTGCCAAAACATTACATTAATATGTCTTTACTTAATTCATATTTTTCAGCCTTGATAACATTTAGAGTTTTTTGCTAACAATGGGAATGCTGCAAAAGCACAAAGTTAACTGTTAATGTAAATGTATTCATCTAACCAAATCAAGATAGACCTGGGGATTTAAATATTGCTTTTAACAGTCTAAAACACCCTATAAACGCATTTCTTACTAGTGCCTATTGCTATCTTATAGTACTGTGAAAAAGTCTTTCAGCCACCTCTCATTTCTTTATAGTTCACATCCAAGCAGCTGGACTTTCTTGCAAAGCTTGAAATGCTCCTGAGCAATCTGTGCTTTCTGAAGGTCTTTCAAAGTTTTCTTTACTGTTCAAGCATTAAAAAGGTGCCTAACTCAAGGGATGCACCAATGTAATGTCTACATGAGACAAATAAAACTTTATTCAAATAAAATAAAAATATAAAAAAGTATTTTTCCCCCAAGTTTCTTTAGATATAACTACAAAAAATGTCACAAACAGCACAGTTTGACAGGCATAAAATCACATTTTTTCTCATGTAAGTTTACTCCCAAAGTAGAAAACATGGCACATCTCGGCATGCTGTGCAGCGTCTCCTTAAAAAAATCTGAAGAAACTGAAGACGTGCAGAACAAAAGAAGTGGCAGGAATAAAAAAAAAGAAAAAAGAAAAAACAGTATCTGAAAAACCCAAATCCTCTTCAGTTGATCCATCTACTGGTCTCTAAAGCTTCAATGGTCTCAGTGGAAAGGTGGGATTATGAAGGCATCCTTAAGAAAGTGAAGGAGGCAGAAAAATGCCAAATTACACAAGGACTGGACTGAAAATCAGTGGCAACAGGTCTGATGGCGTGATGGATCTGAGAAATCTTTGGTTCAAATTGTCATCAACAGGTATGGAGGAGGTCAGGAGAGAGGTAGCAATCTGTAAAACACAGTGGAGGCTCTGTGATGGTTTCAGCCAGTGTGTTGGAGTTTGTGTCAAAACTGATGGAATTATGAGTGATTATGAATTTATCTACCATGTAATACTGGAAACCTTCAGCCAGTAACTTTATTTTTGAAGCATACCTAAATAGAAAAAAACTCAGCAAAACACTATCAGTGACGGATCTGCTTCACCAGAGCCCAAACCTCAAAATTATTCAAGCAGCGAGAGATCATCTTGACCAAAAACAGAATAAAAAGCAGAAAACATCCAAAGAAGATCATTGAATGTCCCTCAAGAAGTCCAGTGAACTATTCCCAAGACAATACTTATAGCAATGATGACGAAGCTTGCCTAAGAGAGTTCAGGCTGTGTTGAAGAATAAAGGTGGTAATACAAAATATTAAATATTACAAACTCTGTTTTGCCTTAAATACTTGCACTTGTTTCACTGAATCAGTCCCATTTACCTAACAAAAATAAAGAAGTGAGTGACTTTCACAGTAATTGAATATGCTAATGATGGCACGATTCACAATTTTATACCTCATGTTCACTCAAGAAACACAGTTCAGTCCATTTTTCAGTTTCATTCATTCCACACAGACCCCCAATCTGTGTAATAAAACACAATCAAGCCTCAGTGTGGTTGAAACATTTATTTATATTTGCAGTGATGACTGTTTTCAGATGGTTGCAGCAACAGAAGACAAATGTTAAACACAAAATGAACTACACCCATTCAGTCTTTCAGCACATAGAAAAATACTTTTGTTTCTTGAGCTAATTCAAGGGCAATACCAGTATTTTTATAAGGTGTGTCATTCTTGTGTGCTTATCCACTTCTACTTGTTCCTTTTCCTCACGATTTTAACACAGCTAGCTTAAATCATTTACATACAGCTCAATGCCTGTCACAGTCTTACAATGTTATTGTTCCTATTGTATTATATTAATACAGCTACAGTAAACTCACTATCTAATGGCTTTTCTAATCTGACGCGTCCAGAAATGTCGCAGGAGGAACATTTCGTCGGCGATGACACGACTTTTGTGTTTATGAGTGCCTGCTGACGATACTGATACGTGAAAAAACACTGGTACTGTCCTTTAAGACGTGACATGTTATTACTCGTTACATTTACACATTGAGAACCATAGCAGCGATCCTCATTTCATTCCTCTTTCTCAGCCTTTTACCTTTTTTTTGTGATGCGGGAATAACAAAATAATATTCCGAAGCAGACATCGTGAAAGGCAGAGCGGTGAATGACACTGATACGCCGAAACTTCCGACACTGTTACCTCTTGCTGCATGCTTCCCTGGCTGACTTCAGCTTTTTGTCTGAGTCGACGTCGCCTCGTCCCGAAAATATTCATGTTCTAGTGCGTTTAAGGCTGATATTCGTTTCAAGGGGTCAAAGGTCAGCATTTTCTGTGGAGGAAAGAGTAGCACGATGTTAGAAGTGTGTCACTGTACGTTGTGAGCTCTTTAATGGACAGTTTGATGAACTGCCAAAGAATATCTAATCAGTCAGTCACATGACAGCAACTCATGGCATGTAGACATGGTCAAGACAAGCTGGGCATCAGAATCAGGAAGAAAGAGGATGTAAGTTTGAATGTGGCACGGTTGTAGTGTCAGAAAGGCCAGTCTGAGTATTTCTAAAACTACTGAGCTACTGGGATTTTCCCACACAACCATCTCTAGCGTTTCCAAAGAAAAAAAGAGAAAATGTCCAGTGAGCGGCAGTTCTGAGTTTAGAGGTCAGAGGGGAATGGGCAGACTTCTGAATGCACAGCACATCAAACCTCGAAGCAGACGTGCTACAGCAGCAGAAGACCACACCAGGTGCTCCTCCTGTCAGCTAAAAACAGGAACTGAGGCTACAATTCACACGGGCAACAGAAGACTGAAAAACGTCGGCTGGTCTTTCGATTTCTGCTGTGACTTTCAGATGGTAGGGTCAGAATTTGGGGTAACCAACACGAAAAGATGGATCCATCGTGTCTTGTATCAATGGTTCAAGCTGCTGCTGCTGGTGGCTATTTTCTTGGCATATCTTGGACTCCTTAGAACCACTGAGTACCATTTAAATGCTACAGCCTACCAGCCTGCTGACCATGTCCATCCCTTTATGACCACCGTGTACCCATCCAGCTGGATAACACTCCATGTCACAAAGCTCAGATCATCTCACACTGGTTCCTTGAACATGCCAATGAGTTCACTGTACTCGGATGGCCTCCACAGCACCTTTGGCATGTGGTTAAATGGGTGATTCACATCATGGATGTGGAGCAACTGTGTGATGCTATCATGTCAATATGGAGCAAAAAGATCTCGGAGGTATGTTTCCTGCACCAAAGAAAATTAACTGGCAAATTCAGTCCTATTTATCAATTCTGCAGTGAAACCGAGATGTAAAAGCACTTGTGTTTCTATTATTTATCACATCATACAGGGAGACATGATAAAATCTTCTGTCTACTTTAAATAGTTAGGTAACGCCTTTAATCACAGGAATGAACATTTACTATAAATCTCCTTTAAATATTCCATTTAAAATGTCAATTTAAGTCATATTTTCTCTTTAACCAGCACTCTGTAAAGCATGCGGACAAAACCCTTTTCTTAAAAGGGCACTTCCACAAGTCCGGGTTTCTCCTCTAACACAACCAGCTGAATAAGCAAAAGGAGTCACAGGAATTTGTCAGGAGCGCAGCAGTTGAAATCCTGAGGCTCGTGTTTAAGGCAAATGAAATTCTTCTGGGATCTGAGGTTGCTTAATCTGTTAATGCCCTGATTTTAACTCGGTATGTAGCTGAGACATAAATCAACTACCAGGCAGGATGCAAAGCCGCTCTAATGATTTCATTCACGAGCCTTACCAGCAACAGTTGCGCCCCATGCTCATTTATCTCTGGGACAAAGTCCGTGATTGGGCGAGCCGTGAGAGTGGGGAAGTTTTTCCTTGATAGTGTAACATCAGTCGGCCACTCCTCCTCTGGCGGCAAGCCGATAACCCTGAAATGACGTGTAAGTTTCAGTGACAAAGGAGTTGTGAGAATGATCAGTCGGGTTAATGTGACTGAAAGTGTTTGTTACTCACTCAAAAATCTTCCCAAGTTGGTCCATTTCTGATTCTCCACAGAACAAAGGTCTAACACGCAGACAGATCAAAGACGAGTTAAAAGCTGGAAGCTGATGGTTATTTTTGACCTTTGGCCTAAAAGCTACAAAATCATAACACTGTGCATTTTTGATGAATCATAAAAATCTCACCATCTTCATAGGAACTGCTCACAAAGGGATCATTTTTTAGGCATTCATCCTTTGATGCAATGTGTCATTTTTACCGCTAGGTGGAGCTGCTGTGTACATCACTGAACTGCTTCTTAGCATTTCTGATTAAACTTAAAAGCTCCTCTAATAGGTTCACAAAATTGCTGCTATCACTGCGCCAGGATCAGTCTCTTAAATTAAACCTCTAAATCACCGAACAAAATTAATACTGATCTGAAGTCAGTTCTTAATATTAATATTAAGCTTATTGGTTAATTACCCACCCCTGCTCTATGGTAAATTTGTATCACCAAGCATCATCATTCCCTAAACAGCTATAAAAAAATACAGTTTAACTCAATAAACCTTAATCCTAAGTTACAGCTATAAAATGTTTATGGCAAAGAGCTTTTTTATTTACTCTTTAAACCAATTTACCCTTATTAAAACTCATTTTACTGATATATGTACTAATATATGAGAAACTAAAAAAAAACGCCCGTGCCTCAGGACCAGAGAGCACACACTGACTGCAAATGTGCCGTGCATATTTTGGTTTCAGTCAGAAGCAGAATGCAGAAATGTTCATATATCTGTAAAATGTTCAGCCTCGTTGCACATTTGCACTGGATTTGCCATCCTGTCCTGGCATCTTACTAAATATTTCTTGCACGTGATTAAAAAGAGGAAATGATCCACATCTATGTCAAACATGAGAAAGTCAGCCTGACTTAAACCGAAAAAATGAACAACACTTTGTAAATATTTAACTTTCTCTAACCTTAGCCATCAGTTTCAGAACCTGAACAGCAAATAAAAAGCCAGACACGAGTCCCAGGCTTGTGCCTTTGTACACACTGCTTCCCTATCACAGGTGCAGTTAAAAGATGTCATGGTTATCGAGGCAATGGCTTCATACAGAACCAGAGCAAATCAAACTTACTTGGCACGATGGAGATGATTTAAAATCGCAATCTAATCTGTTTTCAGGAGTTTAATGAGAACCCAGAGCTCACGTCACACCTCGCAGAGGATGAGTAATCGGGCCTCTGCTACTTTTTAACTTAGTGACTCAGATCGCAAAAATCGAATGCTGACTCACTTCCGTCTGAACATCTCTGCAAAGATACAGCCGGTGCTCCAGATATCCACGGGTGTGGCGTAACTGGACTGCAGCAGGACTTCCGGAGGTCGGTACCACAGGGTCACAACCTGGAAGACACAAACAGAACAGCTCAAAGGATACATACCAAAAAAAAACCTTTTATCAATATGTATATGTTGATACTAATTCATCATGATCTGATGGGAATTTCTAACTTGGGGTTGGGCTCTAACAGAGTCGCAAACAGCAAACAGGTCAAATACTGTTGAAGAACAAAACACTCGCACATTAGCTGGTTTTCTGCAGATGTTTTCCAGAGTGTGTCATTCAGGTGGAGGTGAGAAAAAATGCTTTACTGATGTCTGAAGATCACGTAAAAGAGTTTATTCGTAGTGCAAAGACAGTGTTTAGCAAAAAACTCCACAAAACATTATCTAGTAGCAGGGGCAGGGCAGTCGACCCCCCTTGATATTCAACTGGGCCCCCATGTTGCCCCTCCAAAATTGTGTAGTCATGTCACTCCAACCATGGGCGGAAATTACAGATAAGATAGGAAGACAAGAACGTTTTGAGCCCCTTTTTCTGTTAAAAACTGTTTTGTCCCCTTCAGTGCATCACTGCACGTAAATACCATTACATGCAGTGACAGCTATAGGGTTAAATAGCATGGTTAAAAGATGTGCTCCCCCTCATTCACCTCACATTGGTTTGATCCACTGCCTAGC